GACGGAACACGATGAATGGAACGGATCACGGCGGATCATGGCTCTAATGCCGTGCTTTGATAACGGGGACTGCGAAAGTCATACCAATTCGAAAATGAATTTCGGTATTGAAATTTGAAAGCTCCTCCTGTCACGTATAGTCTTGCTTAAAATGGAATATTGTAAAATTTTTAATAAAATGAAATATACTGATATATTTAATTCGTTAAATTGCGAACAACTTTGTCAGCGTGTAATCTTGTCATGAATTTAAAAACATGTGATTAATTCTTAATTCATTTTAATAGATATCGTATATTTTGATATTTATTCATACTCATATTTTTAAAGCTTTTTGAATATATATATATATATATATATATATATATATTTAAAAGAATGCTCTGTCAAATGTATGTATGTGCAATTAAAATGATATATGTATATGTATAAATTAATTGATCATAGTTTATTAAAGTTACTCAATGTTGTTAATCAAGGTTGTCTAGTGTGTGTCTTAATAGGAAAACTATTTTCCACTCGAGAAAATGTTGATAACATGGAGGTCCGCTCTATGTGGAGGCGTAAAATGCATAAATGCTATGCCATGCATGAGCTCATGCACCTTGATTCGCAATAAATCGCTTCGGGAGATGAATCCTTCGCTTTAATCTACGCGAGACTAGCATGTAATTAATTCATTTCGCCGCCTCCGCAATAGTACGATGATTCGCGGAAAAGTTAGATCACACGACCTGCGGGACTTTTCTAATAGATTGCCAGTTTTTACGATTATTTAATCCTTATGCTGTCTGTGTTTGCGCGATGACTCAAGTGCGTATCAAGGACTTATCTATCTTTCTCATAGCTAACAAGGAAACGGCCGGAATTGTCTCTCTGTGTTTTTGATGACCTTCGGATATACGTCGTCTCTACATAGCTTAAAATAGATTAAAAGAGAAACAGCTTAATGTATGTTTAAGACAAACAGACAAGTTCTAGAAGTTCATCTCGCCATATTTACCCATTTGAGTGAATATTTCGTAAAATATATATCTATACATATATGTATATGATTATGAAATGCTTTCAGCTAAACTTTGGAAAGCCGCTGCAATCATTCGGAATATTTTTTAAATTAAAGAAAAATATCTGTCTTTTTTTTTAAGCCTCTTCGACATATCCGAAGCTGATTTAAATTGTAGAGAAGTCCTTTATTGTGTGTTCCTGCAACGCGCACTTCCTCGAGATACGCTTTCGCTTACGGCCGAACTTTCGGCGCGTAAACACTACCGGAATCTTATCTCTTGGCGCGCTTCTTGCCTTGGCTCGTCTGGATGCGCGTTGCACCGTCTTCCGGTTCGCGCGGCGCTCTCTCGCTCGTTTCATTCATACGAATTAACGGGCCCTCGTAAATTGTACGCGATGAGCAGCGCGGCGCGTCCGTCGCAATTAAGCGCGATTGTGCCGGCTAGAGAGTCACTCTTCGTCATCGCGAGAGCGCAATGAATTCGTGTCATGCCCGAAGATGTTGACCGGATTAGACCACAAGCCCGAATTGAGAGAATGACCGAAAGCGCGCGCGGCTTCGTCATCGTCTACCGCGCGACAAATTGATATTAACCGAGGAATTACGAGCCTAGCCGCTCTCTCGTCTCGCCGTCTCGGAAACTTTTTCTAGACCGGACCGTAAATTGAAGTTCGTCACGTGGAGAGAGACTGCGTTAAGTTTCCTAATCTGTGAGATGTCTAAAAAATTTCTAACTTTTTGTATTTACGCGAGAGAAAGAGATGGGATAGGTAGATGTCACAGGGTGTAACACCATTCTTACTCTTCTCATTAATTAATTTATGAAATGTCCGGAGAAACTTTTTAACTATTTTTCGAGTTACGTGAAGAGAAATAGGATAGAAAGAGATACCGCGCGTGTTGTATCATCTAGTGTTCTTATTAATGAACTTGATGAATTTGGATAAAGCTTATTTAAACGTAAATTTGACATAGTCACACAATTTTTTAGTATTAAAATTAAGAATACATAACTAGGCTATTTTTTAATTTTAATTTTATTTTTACTGTAATTTAATAGAGTTTTAATTTAAAATTATAAATTACGATTGCCTGCTTTTACTAACTAAGTTATTTTATTTTATGTTTCAGGAGCGAAGCTTTTTCCTGTGCAGAATCACGGTAAGAAAAAATTAATAAAAGAATATAATGATTGAATTATTTATGCGACAATTGATTGTCATATCAACGTCATATCAAGTAATAAACATATCTAGTTGCAAATAGGATGTAAAAATATTGTTGATGCATAACATAGATTTGCGACGCGAGTTATCAAGAATATTTGCGTTTTTTTTTTTGAACAGTGTTTTCCACTGACGATCAGTTTACACAAACGTTAATACAAAAATAGCAGACTATCTAATAATAACTTCTCGACGCCCATATTTGCAAATGCAAATAGCAGAACTAGTGTCCATATGTTAATGAAATTTTTAATCCAAATGATATAATTATATAAATAAGTTATCGCTAGGATTTCTGATTCTTAATATATTTGGTATCTGTAAGAGGCAGAGAATGATCTTAAAGAGATTATAACATCGTAATTATTAAATTAAGAATTGTGCTTATGTCTCATAATTAAGATATGATCATTATGAGAAAAATTTCTTTCGGGTTACATTCTTATTTGTTTGTAAGACAAATCGTATAATGATTTATTTTGTGCACATTTGGTTCCATTCTAATTTATCATTTACGTGTACAGTTACTCCATACACTGATTCTGATTAGCTGACTAAAATCAACCGTAAATTTAATACATTTATTAAATTCGTAATTTTCCAATTCTCATTATCTTATTAACGAATGAAGAACAAAATCTTGTTCACAACGCACATTAATATTAATACAAAAACATATAAATATGAACGTTATATAGATTTGAAAAAATTCATAATACAAAAAATATTTGCAGTCTAAACTGTTTTTACATGAACAAGCATTCGATCGAAAAATAACATCGGGAACATTGAATGAAATAGAAAAATATGAAAAAAATCGCTATCGGTACTCACGAATATGGAGTTGTAGATTTTATCGTAGAAAATGATCGGAGTTTTGAGGTTTGCCTCCGCGGATATCAGCATCCGGTTCGAATCGCTCTCGAGGGCCAAAGTGCCCGGACCCGTGTATTGGTACAGATCGTTTTTGGACAGGGCAGTGGTGTAGGGCGCGATTAGGGCCAGCGCGAGGCCCAGCAGGACGACGCTCCAGCGTACTGCGCCGCGAGCCATTCTCTCGGACTGCCTTAACGCTACTGCTGTTCGACTTGGGCACGACGTCTCTTCTCTTGCCGCCCCCTAATCGTCTTTTGCCCACCGCTGCTCCTCGACCGGCTGCGCGACCGTATCCGAACATATATGAAACTTCACGCTCACTTCTCGCGCTCGCTGATAATTTCGTGACATCTCGCTCCGATCCCCACCTCCGATTCCGCCGCTAATAAACTAAACGTGCAATCGATTCTAGCTTGATTGTAATTCTCCAATTTCTACCTTTTTTCTATCTGTATGTCGTTCGTGCTGTACAACGATCATTCACGTGACGTGAAGGGTAGAAATCCTTTGGAGGTATATCGGAAATCGGAGCAACTTGATGAATCTGATGAATTTCTTTATTTTTTCTATATGACATAAAATATAATTATAATATTTTCTATATCGAGAATAATTTTTGAAAAAAAATCAATTATATTGAATAAGTGATGACGTTTATTTAATCTTATGAAGCTTCATAGAAGCAAATCACAGTCGCGTGATCGCACGCACATTGCAATTTGTTATTTAGAGCAAAAAGTGTAAGCACTGCAGATTTGTCTGAGACTAACTTGTTTTATTTATAGATTTAATTCTTTGATTTTTATTAGTAGATTTTAAATTTATTTTTATATACAGGATATTATTACATTATTATCCTCATACATCTTTTTTTACGTACGTGTGCGAATGCGTAATGAAAGCATTATCATCATTTAAATTAACAATAGCGGTGTATTTACGCGACGTATTTTCTCTCATGCAAAATTATGGTTGGTTCAATTGTATCTTCAGACCATTTATTCAAATGTCGAGATTTGCGCTATTACGTGATACATATTGTAATCAACTCGTGTGGATTTTAAGGATTTAATTGCGACTATAATCGTAATTTATCAGTGACTGGGATAATTGAGCTGCAAGGTTATGCATCCCGCAGCTAAATTGGCTGACATTGCTGACGCAATGATTTTCGAGTCATTACTTTGTATTCCGCCTGCATCGCATCCTGCATTTAAAACTGATAGAGATTTCATGTGAATCTCTATTTTTTTCTTCTATAAAATATCTACGAGAGTCTCCCTTACGTTAACTTTTATGTACATTATTATCGCAATTTTAATGCATTTAATTTCAACTTAATGTTATACAAACATAATCGTAGTCATATTTGTTAGAGCTCTCCACTTCATTTTTTTTATCTAAATCTTTTATTATTACGCTCGATCATCTGTCACGCAATTTCTTCGAGACGATACGCGATTCTTCTTGAACGTCGGGGCCATCTTCTACGCAAAGTTTCGCGTGCAGTTTTGCGTTGTGAAATAAAGTATAAGCGTCGACGGATAAACGGAGGTGGACCTACATTCGCATACGCCGCCTAGAATTGCGTCGCGGCCTAGAACGTCCCAATAAATTGTCTCAGGAATTCGTCAGGGTCGCTCTCCTTCTTGCGCTCGTTTAGCGTATGACGGTATGTGAGCTGCTTATTTTGGAAGTGGCGTAAGTCACTTTGAAAAATAATGGATTTGGGGCTCGTTCTATATCGCATTACATTGTCAGAAATATGTATATTTCAGTTGAAACAGAAGATAATTAAGGTAATGAAAATATATTTTTTCGGTGGAATTAAAATAATTTATATGACAGCTAACACACTTGATAGGGCATCTGGAATATAAAGACAATAATTTCGGGATGCACGTTGTAAATTGATCTTTATTACAAGAAATTACATGACTAATTTGTACATATAAAATATAAATATCATACAAATACTATGGTACAGAGACGCATGTTTTCCGGTGGAAAGTGGAAGTAGATCGCTAGTTACAATTAATAATTACTATCACTATAATTCGTTATTATTACTGTTGTATTCACGGCAGACGGACTGATACGCTCTTGGCAATGTTTTTTTTTAACTCAGATTGAATTCGGACACGCGACGATAAGTAAACAACATACATGAAGTTTAACGTTAATATAACGCGAGAAACTATAAAGACCTTTTTCGCGATTTTCGAAAAGACAGAAGTAAAAAATCGTGGATATAATTCTCTTTTTAGGAAGACTAGAGAACGAAACGTTAGTCGAAAATTTTAATAATCGATCAACATGAAAAATCGTAATTTTTCTGCGACAAACAATTGGTTCAACAATATATTATACATCGGACATTTATTCTTAACAGAAAGAACAGATAAAAAGCAATGACGACGATTTCAGTAGTAAACTCACATTTTCTTTGGTCGTTGATGAGCGAGATACGGAGAAACGAACGTGTAGAATCTCTTTAATTAGCGCAGGGCGACACGAAGGAGTCACTTGGCTTTACTTTCCATCCGTGGACGGCTAGTTTGGTGCCGTTCCACGAATCTGTGAAAATGATGTTCGTGCCTTCGCATTTACATCTCGCATTTAACGCTAAATGCGGCTCATCAAAGTTTTTAGTCCGCAGTGCGATCTCAAAATTACATTAGATATTATTGAAAAAAAATGTATCTTCTTAGATGCTCGCATTTAATGTCAAATGCAGAATGCAAATACGTGTCTATGTATACGTGTGAATAATCAGTCGCGTGTTCGCGTTTTACTCACGTCGGTACTCACGTATAATTATTGTTTCGCATATTGTGTGTACATGTATCTGTGTATACGTGTATGTATGTGTGTGCTTATATATTCATATACATATACGTGTGTATCATGCATAAACCTCAAGGTATAACAGTTTAGGACGAGAAAAACGGGTCGATATCGGTCCATCACGACTCGCATCAGAAAACTAGAATACCTCTGTATCTGTCCTCACTCTCTCTCCTCCTCTATGCATTACTCCCATGTCGATTTATTTTTATCCCATCTATTTTTATTCTTCCCGACTTCATCCCCGTCTGTGCTTATATCCTCTCTTCGCGTAACATTTTCATCAGAAACGAGTGATTTTTTCCCTTTTCTCTCGCTCTATGTTTCTCTTTTTTTTTCTATAAGTTTCAATAGCACTCGCGCGAACATTTCTTACGATTAGCAAAAGTTTACGGTTTATTTGTTATTCTCATCTCTCTTCCTTCTTCTTCTCTTCCATGCGCGCGTTCTTTCTTTCATTCACTCTGTCTCTTTTTTTCGCTTTTTCTCTCTTTCTCTCATATACTCTCTTTCGCGTCTTTCTAAAGTGAGTTACGGAACCCTACGAAGTGCGGTAACTGTTGATAACGATTAAAGCTACGATAATACCATGAATTAACGTGCGTGTATTAAATACATTACGTACGGCGCATTTCGTTAATCGATTGATCGTTAATGGTATAAAAAGATTTTTTTGCACTATTTTGGAAGTGCGTTGCTCGTTCACTCACGGCAAATTTCTTCCAAATTGCTTTCGTTTGGCTTTTCCCTCCAGATCGAAGCTCGATATTATAATGAAAAAAGAATTTGCATTTACCTCTAACATCTAACTTCTATTGTTACGAATCCATCGACAATCTATTAATTAATTAGCATCGCTGAATTTCTTTCTCCCTGAATCATCGGCGATATCAGATCGAAAAAGAAAAATTTAGCCACTCTCGTTGCTCTCTAGATTGTAGATGTTCCCATTTGTTAGTACTTGTAATAATCGAGATTGTTCGTATAATTATAGCTAACTTGCGACCGTTTATGATCGCGGTTTTCTAGATTTTCACTCGACTGTCTTTTAAAATTCGCGATTGACTCGATCACGAATATATCGCATTGTTTCTAGATTGATATTAATATTTCTAGCGTCTATCGCGACAGTTTTATCCGTTTGTTTTGTTCGTCGCTGTTCCCGATGAATTATACGCAATCTGGCCGATTGGCCAGCAGTCTTTTAGGTCGGAAATTTATTTCTTATAACTTACTAATGGCATCAGTCAGACAATAGTATGGCAGCGATGGTGTTTTAAATGACTCTGACGAATAATAGAAATGCGAAAACAAAGTATATCAACTCTCATATAAAATCATCATAATGCCAATATAAACGCGGCACGGAACATTTCCCTCGAAAATCACCTACACTCTTACTCGAATTATTTAATTACTTCATTATGTATCCTGAGAAATATATATCGTTGAAACTGAAACAATCGCAAAATCTCTAACACGAATTGTTTTTCGTTAGAACTCTACAATATAACCTCTCGATAAGACACGTGCGTGTGCGTGTACGTGTGCGAATACTTCGGTGTGAGACTTTTTTTTTTTTTTTTAGTTTCCTATCGTTCCTCGTTTAATGTTGTTAATACCGTCTTAGGCTTAACAATACGATGACAGCGAGCACAATATATCATTAACAACTACTGGACGGAGTCGAGCGACATCGACGCCATTCCCTGCTAATTTATTCCATTCAATTCGGCGACCTCGCTCGTCTCGTTTCAACGATTAAATTCGTAGGTGGATGGGCGGGATTGGTGATGTGATCAACACGCGGTCGTGCGTGCTGATCCGAGTCTACGTTAGGTGATTTGAATCTCGGCCGTTGTCGGCTGCTGAGGACATGAATCGAAACAGGTGACCAGAAGAACGTGGCTCTTACAAGCCTCCACTCTTTTCTGCAGAATGCACGTCTCCGCCGTCAGAGCTTCCAAAAATGACGGATTTCGCCAGTCCATACCGTCCTCCACGTACACTATTTTTAAAATCAAATAAATATGATCGAATATATGTCACTAATCGAAATTTGCAATATAATATTCATTATTCAATCTTTACTCATATATATTTAAATTTGATTCGAACAAATATAAATTATGATTCGATTTGAATCAATTAAATAAATATATGCAAATAGTAAAGTTTAAATTATTATTGATCAAAAAATTGTGACAATTCTTTTTTATAATTTGTAACAGCTCTTTAAAAATTAATATACATATAAAAGGCAATAAGAGCTAATTAAGTTCTGTTATTAATATTTATTTGTGGAAAAACATTTTTTTAAATATTAGACATAAAATATTAGACAAAAAAGTTCGAACGTTTCGGGACCCTTTTTCAACCTTCTTCAGCGCATCATTTAAAATTAAAGATTAATAGAAATTAACAATAAATTATTCATAACTGAGTTAAGAAGAGAACCAGTTATGAATAATTTATTGTTAATTTCTATTAATCTTTAATTTTAAATGATGCGCTGAAGAAGGTTGAAAAAGGCAACCGAAACGTTCGAACTTTTTTGTCTAATATTTTATGTTAAAAATTTTTTTCCACAAATAAATATTAATAACAGAACTTAATTAGCTCTTATTGCCTTTTACATGTATATTAATTTTTTTTTTTAAATAATAAGAAAAATAAGAAAGTCAAATATCTATACGCGCGACATTCGAATCTTCTGATCATCCGCGTATTACAGAAAAGGCTGATACTTACGATTATAGTCCCAGCGAGTGTCGGGTACCATTAGACGTCTTTTAGCGTCTCGCAGCTCCAGCCTAAGAAGGCGCTGGCGCAGGCGCAGGCTGTGTATCCTGGACATCGTTCCACGTGGATTCGAGCGTACCCGCGCGCGCCTGTCCAGGATGTCTACGTCCTCGCCTGTATACGCGAGAATCGCCGATGCCGCGGGCGGCCCCGGTTGAGCCCGGCAGTGGACCCGCGACCGCCGAAGCTCGTACCCTGCCGCCCGCTGTTCCACCGCTGAAACACCCGCACAACGTCGAGGTTAAAACCCCCAGCGCGCCACCTGAGGAGAATCACCGTACGGCGGGATCGTTTTAGAGGGCTTGCGTATCCTTTCTAGGAATATGTGAGGCTTCCGACAATGCTATCGTGCTTTGCAGATTTTTGCCGAGTCGGATGTTAGATAGTTAGTCTTTAGAAAGATTTTAGAGCAGTTGAATCAGACGATAGGATAAACTAGCGAAGAGATGAAGCGAAATTTCCATGCGAAGCGAGTGACTGAAAAATCGACTACTTGCTACTGCTATATGTAAAAAAAAAAAGCGAATAGGTTTCTCTTGGGTTAGTCTCTAATATTTTAATTTCAGCGGATAAGCACTTTTCTTAAGTGTATATCGATCCCAATTTATTTTTTTTTTCACTGCGTTATTAACGTAATGAATATTTTGATATATACGCTTTTTCGAGAATGAATAATTAAAGGATACTTGATGATTACCTTGATGTTCTTGTAACGCGCCGGTTTGCCGGGACGAATCGCTAGCGATGCTACTAGTTTCACTGTCTCGAACGATACTGTCGTATCCGGAGCTCTCGGCACGATGTCTGGACAATGTGGCCGGTGATAATTTAGCCGCTCGTGGTGTTGTATCCGCACCGGAATCGGAGCTCTCCTTGTTCAGACCGAACGAGGAGCCGAGGCTAAGGATCTTGCGTTGCATTCGTCCGGAAGACGGCGCCGGAGACGGTATTGACAATTGTAAGGGGCCACCTGAAATATAATATATATTTATGAAATATAAAAAATATTATTTACTATCTTTAATATGTGACGGAACAGCGCGCCGATTTCTCTTGACAGATTAATTTTTGAAGTACAAATTTATTGAAAAATGCAATTAAATATTTCTATTATTTGAATCGAGAATTATGGACGATTAAACTTTTTATCGACTTTTAATCGATGCTAATTTTTATAAAAATGTCGCAGACATTGAAAAATATCTGAAAGCGTTTTTTTCCTGACTTCAGCGTTGTTCGTACCTTGAATCTTGAGATCTTCCTCGATGTCGGATTTTCCTGTTACCGTTCTCTCGGATCTCTCGGCAGCTGTGAATAGCTTCTTCGCCTCTATATATTCCTCTTCAGGATCCGAGCCGGACGCTCCGTTTCCGGGTATCCTTTCGATCTCTTCCTTCAGGTTGGGATTCGAAGCGCCGTCCGGATGCCTCAGACTAGAGATGTTGCAGTCGCCCAGCTTGCCGCAGTACCTTCTGGGACTGGCGAGATGGGCGACGCTACTGGGATACCAATAAGAGGCTGTGGCGGGTCTGGACATGCTCTGGCGACAATTATCGCAGATCTTTTCCTGATCGGGTTTGCCGGCTATGTACGCGGGTTCACTGTAGATGCTGCCGTGATTGCTCGCGTTGTCGTTGAATAAGACATCCGAAAGAGACAAGGATTGACAGCGAGATGGCGGACGGAAGACAGTCGCTGCTGGAATTTGTCCTGCGTTAATGTTATACTGGATGTAGACCGCAGATTGCTGGGACTGGGTGCCTCGATTAAAATCTACTTCTTGTTTGCAAAGCATTTTTTATTTTTATTTTTAACGAAGCAGTAGATCGCGACTCTCATTCTATTATATTTCTTTCGTATTTTTTCAATTATTAATAAAAAGAATAAGAATAAAGGGGGGATTTAAAATAAAGTACTGTTGTTTACACACGAATTTTAAAGTAAAAAATTAAAATCTCAAATTTGAAATCGCTTTTAGGAATTATACAGCTTATGTACGCAATTCTGAAGAGACAAATAACATCTGTTTCTTGAGACAATTCAATAAGAAATCAGTTTTGTCATCGGTTATAAAATTGATTGAGCCTTCAATCTCGAAAACACTTACATGGAGCATCTCGTACGTTGACAGTGGAGGAATTTTCTCTCTGATAAGTCACGGAGTTGGAAACGTTTGCGAGAGCGAGTTTGCTTTGGTAGAGCTCGTGGAGACGGGCCAGCTGATCGAACTTGTGCCTGGTCTCTTGCTCGAGAAAGTCTTCGTGGTCAAAGTACGGCCTAGGTAGAACACCGGCACCAACCGGTGGCGGATAATGCGGTCTGTATCTCTCCGTGTCTGACATCACCGACATGGAGTCTGGAAATTATATTTATTTTTATCTCGTATACCTTTCATCGTCCAAGTTTATATCTTGTACCGTCCAAGAAGTCGCCGGATAAGAACGACGGGGGAAAATAGCGGAACTAGGAGACAGCTGTCCGCTTTGGTTTGAGAAGGAGAGAACGCAATGACATGTAATTATATCGGAGTCTCTGTCTTCGAGAGAAGTTATAGTTTACTACCGCACATGGCCTATTACAAACTTCTAGAATCAAAAAATCAATTTCGAGACCATGCAGAGAATTGCTTTTATAGAAGTTTATTGAAGTTTTTGCAATAAATAATATTGCGGGGAGATAAAGTTGAATCTGATTGTATGTTTGAAAGAAAAATTTTTTTATCTTTAAAGAGAAAGAAAAAATGCCTAAAATAAACTCAGTCTTTGACAATTAAAAGAGATTATAAATTTATTTTCGCTATTATAATTAGTACTGAAATAATTATTTATAAAAAAATATATATAATATATAATATTGAAATAAGTTTAAAAATAATGTAAGTAAAAAACTGAGTGTTCTGCATAAACGAAAATTTTCTCACCTGTAAAAGTCGAGACCACGGTGAGATTTTCTTGACTAAGAATTCTTAAAGGATGTTCTTCCTGATCGCTCTCGGGCAGAGGATTTTCACCCATACAGAGCGCAATGTCCTCCTCAGTCACTTGTAAGCACGAGTCTTGCATAGGTACCGGTTCCAAGTCCTCCACCTCGACAATCTCTAAAATCTCATCCTCCGAGGACAACGAATGCCTCGAAGGTAGAACAATATCCTTGTGCGACAAATTCAGACTTTCCATGGAGACTTCCCGACTTACTCCGTTACTGAGCGGCTCGATCAAAGGTAACGGCGGAGGTACAACAATTTCTTCATCATCGTCTTCGTCATCCGGCAGGTCGAGCTTCCCCTTTTCGACACTGTCATCCATCACCGGGCTCGCCGTCAGATCTAATCCCGAATCCGTATTGGATTTAACGTTAAGCAGATTCAGCTTGGCGCTCAATTTCTCGGTTATATCCTCGATCTCGTTCGCCTTCAAGCTATCGCTCTCCGCAGTGGACAATGACGTATCGTCGTCCTCCGTGCCGCCGCAGGTTTTGAACTGCGTCATTTCTTTATACTGACCGGACGATTGACCCGAGGACATTTTGGCAGAGTCGAGCCTCGGCCCGACGTGTTTCGCCCGCTGTATCTGCGACGACTGGTTCTCCACCCATTTCCTAATCATGCTCTTCTTGTGACTATCCATGAAACCATAACCGGAAGACGAATGCTGATGAGTGTGCAGCTGCAGCGCCGGCGCGCTGGTCAGCTGCATCGGCCCGTCGATCCACGTCTCTCGTTTGTGATGCGAATCTTTCAACATATGCCTCGCCTCCGCGACCTTCGACTTGGAGATCCTCGGACCGTCTATCCATTGTTCATCGGAGCCGCCGCTCGGCGCCGCCACCGGGATCTTGCTACCTGGCGAATCGTTAACTTTAGACGACGAGGACGCACTCTTCGACGAGGAGTTCTTCCTGGCCGGACTCGCCTTCGGTGTCGCGCTGTGCGCCGGCGAGGTCTGCTTCGACGCGGTCTGCGTCAGCGTCTTCACCGTCTTGGATTTGTGCGCCGGGCTGCGTTCTTCAGGATTCTTGCTCGGTCTCTCGGCGGCGGAACCGCGGAGTACCCTGCCCATCGCGCAACGATTGTCGCCGGAATTCAAACTGGGTATGTAAACGGGTGGATGTTCGCCATCGGTGGCATCGTCGGCGCTCGGTCCTACGTAAATCACCGTGTCCGCGGACAGGTCGCTCGAGCTGGGATCGCACTCGCTGTTCTGCCGAGCGGCCTCCTCACCAGAACTGCCGCCGCTTCCGGCGCCTTGCGTGCCGCCACCCACGAACTTGATCTTCCGACGTCGCATCCGGTGGATCCTCGACGCGAGTTGAACGGTGGTGAGCGTCTCCGTGTAGTGCTGGGCGTTTGGCGACACGTGGGCTATCATGGCCGCGTGACAGGTCAGAGAGCCCAGACATTCCTTCAACAGTTGCGTCAACTTGTGTTCCTTGTACGGCAGATGCTTCTGGCCGTTGAAGATCGCGAGTAGAATGTTGCCCAGGCCGGACAGAGGAATTCCGCCCGAGGACTTGCCGCGCTCGGAATTTCCCAGGTCCATCAGATGCAGCCGACTTCTGCCACCGGCAACTGCGCAGTCAAGAAACACACAGCGGCCATGTGATTTTTGTGGCGTAAGGATAATAATTATTGTAGGCTTAAATTCGGAAATAACGAGGGAACGTATGGAAGCTTTGGTAGATTCAAGGGAATTCCAGAGGATTTATTTACCTCCGCCCTTGCCGGCGACGCTGTATTGATACACGTGCAATGTATAGAGCATATGCGCGTCGCCGTCCTCCCGTTGACGACCGGCGACTGCTGCATCGAGGTAGAAGGCCGCCCGTTCCGCCGTAGGCGCGCGAAGCTCGCTGTGCTGCTGCAATTGAAGGGTACCAAACAGTGGATCGTCTCTGAGGTATACGGCCGGCGACTGCTCGGAGTCTGGAAATAAAAAGAACGGCCAGTGTTACGTAAAGTCTGTCTTGGATTTTCGTGTATGGAGTATTCTTATGTAATGTTTTGCATCTGTCGCAGACATAGTCGGAAATTCTTCAAATTAACTCGATAAAAGTCTCATCATATTATTAACATTTCTTCTTATTTTATGACGTACAAAATATCTTTAAGAAATAATCCCTAACGGCACGCATATCCAAAAGACGGTCAAAGGATATCCAGAAGACATCCAGAGAATGTGCGATGTCCTCTAAACGTCTTTCAGATATGTTGTACTGTTAGGGATAATATTATATATTTAAGATATATATTAAATATATATCTTTTATATTATAATATGTTGTCTTGTATATATTATAGATGATATTTCTGTTATATATTTTTAATCATAAAAAAATGATAAAAGCCAGGCTCTCTGCGTTTCCTCTAAAAAATGCATCACCCGCAAAATTTCATCCCGAGTTCGCGTAAACTTCCCAACGTTCTCCGTTTATTTGGTTCCATTATTTCGCGGAAAAATAATATTCACGAAGAAGAACAGGATGGAAGAGGCTCGAGATGCAGGTGTGCGCTACTCGGGGCCGTAAATCGGTCGAAGCGGGGCTAGAGATATCCATGGGACGCCTCGTTCTAAATTACGACGTCGATAAAATGTCGGAAGATATGTCGCGGAAGATATCTACGTTCCGCTATCGCGCTTTATCACGCGTCCGGGGGACAGTCGGTCGGTGGACTTACACGCGAATAATCAAGGTAATGCGAAACACAACAGTAAATAGTGATCAGCGTAAAAGGCCAATTACGAGATCGGCGGGAAAATACGAGCGCGTGGGCGATCACACGATCGGATCAGGCAAGGTAATCTTCGTATTGTGTTGCTGCTTAGCCGTGCAAATAAAACAGTCCGATCGTAAAAGAACGAAGAACGGAGGAAAGATAGTTAAAAGGATAGTTACTCGGATAAAAAAAATGTCGAAGAAAGCACTGCTATCAATTATTGCGAACACGACACGCGGCGATAAACGTCACGATTGCGTGTGCTGTTGTGAAATGTGGAATAAAAAAAATTTAATTACAAGCTAGGCGAAGTTTTCGATGGCTCCCGAATTATATATGACATAATGAGACATAAAAATCTGATTTTAATTAAATAGAAAGTGCAAAAGCTTTTATCTATCAAAATTATATACAAGTGCAGTATTATATATGCAACAGAAATATTTTACAATATTCATTATATACATATATAATCGATATTCACATGTAAAAAATTTTCTCAGACAAGATGTCTCAATCATAGAATCATAAAATATGAAACAAAAAAAGAAAGTTAACACTACGAACGTATTGCCCGTATTCAGGTTACTTTTCACATAGAGATATTTGAAATCGTATGCTCCATGATGAGAGGAGGAAAATGGTAGGTAAATAAATTGAAAAAGCAGATTGAAGGTTTCTTCGCGCGTTATTGCATCAAAATTCAGTATTGATCTGTGAGAATGCTCACTGTAAAAAGTTGCAATAATGAATTCATGCGAATGTTTAATCCGAGGAACTACTATAATTGCGAGAGCTGCAAACGATCTACTATATGATATAAAAATTTCCGACAGTCAGACAAATCTGATTTCAAGTCCGAATCATACAAAAATTTATGTAATATTAAAATTCGAGTATAAAAGTGCTCCTAGCTCGAGAAAAATTAATCTAAAACATCACTAAAAGTAATGTAAATATATCGTTAAACGTATAGCGTTTGACAATATACTATTATACTCTTTTTCGCATTTATAGCGAGTGACCTACAAAGAGGGGTCCGAAACGGCAAATTTAATTCAAGTAATGCTTTTCGAGTACCTAGCTTTTTATCCAGCACTGCGCGTTGTATACATTCGTCCTGAAATTACCTCTCGTCTCTTCACCGTCCAAACGCGTACTTTTTTATACGTCCGTCTTTATGCACTCGGGACTGATATAGTTGGACGTCGTCCGCGTTTATACGGTGTTTAGATAACCCCCATGTTCATAAATTGCCAATTAGCCTTTTACCGACGCGAGCTCGTCTCGGCGCGCTCCCACCTCCGGCACGAAAACGTCGTAAAGGACGCCGAAGGAAGAACGTTAAAGGATAAGAACGGGGCGCGACGACATATGCCGGAGTTTATTTCCGCCCGGCCGTCTGCGACTTTTCACATCTGTTCCTGCCGGAAACCTTTTACCGTTCCTTTATGCCGCGCCGAGAAAATGGCGCCGCGAATCTCGCACCAAGTCTTCGCGAGCTTCCCGTCCAGTCGTTGAACGATTGATTCCGACTATATTTCGATATTATATTAGACGAGAGAACTATTATAGTTTGAGCCAGTTGAGCATGCGATGAGAGAACAAGGAGCGCGCGCGAAAACAGGAAGTGGGAGTATCCTCTCTACCAGAGTTCCCTTGATTTTCGTAATTTGCGAAGTCCCAGGAAACCGACTTAACCGTAGTAGATGTTCGATAATGAAATTCGACGAAGCGTGCCTACCAGACATATAAGAGAGAAAGAGAGAGAGAGAGAGGCGACATTGGAATATTTACATAGAATATATAAAACGGAGGCTGCGATAAAATAAAAATTTTTTATATACAGGATCTGTTAGGACATCTAAATTTATATATACATATATATAAATTATAAATTTATATATATATATATATATAAATGTAGATAATTCTAGAAATCTCCTGTATACCAAAAATTTTTAATAATGCACAAAAGTGAACGTGATAGTGCTTTGTAGGACTTTGTAAGAATCCGAATTAAGGGAGGTATTTAATATTCATGAGACGCGTGAAGTGGCCCGAATAAGTTCGCGGTTTCGGCTTGTGCTGGCATTAAGGCGCTGTGATAAAGTAAGGAGGAAAGTTGATAATTGTTAAAGTGGTAAGAAAGTACTGCATTTAATAGTTGAAAGTGAATTTTCTATAATGTCAATATATATTTTCTTATTCTTACATTATAAAACTTTGAAATTTTTTGTCACTTTTATTTGATAGATAACAAACATTTCTTTTTGAGAAAAAATAAGAAAAAAAGAGCATAGACACAATTAATACGGAATAGAAATTTCTTCAGTATATTATTACAAGTTATACATGAATAAATAGTAATGTCACTTGTATTGTTCGATATATTCAAATATATGGGAAGATTTATAGATACATTTTATTGCTACATCGTATTATACGAAGTCTATTTCGTTAGACTATATAAATTTTCCGATTTCCTGATCGAGAAGTGACATAAACGGCTCCGAAATGAAGCTTAAACTTCGCAACTGAAACATGACACTCTGAAATTCACGACAGACTTCGAGGTAATAATAAGGACAGCTCGGTCTAGTCGACGTTATACGAATATACGCGCAGGCGCATATATACACATATATATATATATATATATATATATATATATATATATATATGTTACATACTGTGTGCTCGCGTATAATAATTCACACACAGATACAGAGCGTGGATGTGCAGAGGCGGCGTAGCAATATCCATAAAAGGGACCGGAGGATGTAATATTACAGGCATCTGTGCCCTGCGGTGTAAAAGTACCGCGAGGAAGGAGACGACGAGTTTGCGATGTCGACGACTACGAGGCGAAGCTCGCGACGAGGTAAAGGGAAAAGCGATCTGCGAAGACGGAGTCTTCCTTTTGCCACGGAAATGCGTAATGGATGCGGTTTCGACTTAGGACAATTGCGAGCGAACGAGCGAGCGTCGCAGATATATATATATAAGAAAAAAAGAGAAAAATAAAAAGAAAAATGTTCCATAAAGGGTGCCTCCACATCCCCTCTTTATCTCTCCTAAATAAATCGTTTTTCGACGCGTTTCGAATACAGTTTCCGAGCCCGGTCCCTTTCGATCGTAACAGTCCTCATCGTCGCTGGGGCAGAAGGGCAGTAAAGGAAATCTGTTTCGCCTTTCCGGACGGCCGGCTGCGCCCTGGTACGCGACTTGTTTCCCGAGCTCCGCAATATTTCCACGAGAAGTTTCTCGCCCCCGAACACGCGTATCGTTATGAATCAGAGCCCTTCGGGACGGTCTTATCCGCTTGCATCGTTATTAAAGCCGGTCGACACCACGCCGGGATTTCTTGAGCAAGTTTAGAAGTTATTAGATAATATTGATCCTTTCGTTATTGTGGAACAGTTTAGGTCCGAAAATTGTGAGTTAAATGGCTAAAATGTGTATGCGGTACACTGGAACATATATTATGAGACTTTTATCATTTGATTGTTTTTATAAAAAATTTATTAATGAGAATATCATCCTGTCTTTTCGAGAAATTTGTCTTCGTTCTTTAGAATTGATTGAAGGGATTTCATTTTACAATTTGAGGACAGACTTATGCATGTACCTCTTTTTAGAACAAAGTAATTTTGTCCTTTACGGTTTAATAACATCTTACGGGTTTCTGACGGTTTAATATCCTGAAACACCTTCATTTCATGAACTCCAGAGGGAGAGAGAGGGTCATTGACGCGAGTTCCCTAAGGTCTTTCTTGACATGCAGAATTTATATTATACAACGTGATCTATAGGAAAGTGATCTTTATAATTTATAAAAATTGTTGTTTTTTTTTTTGCAATCGATCACGCGTTGCTCATCGATAGTCGACGACGAACGAAACATCTGTTATAAAAAAATGCAAAGTATAAAATGTGTAGCTAGATAACTGATGATGAAATATGCATAACATCGTCTTATAATAATATTCGAAAGATGATACCCTGAAGAGTATATTTTACGTTAAAATATCATACATCATTCAAAGCATCCTTATTCCTTCGTTCACTTTGGTATAAAAGTGCATTATAGAGACAACATCGCGGTCGACTTTTCCGGAAGTGCTAAGATTGATGTATCGACTGCTTCGGGACCTCATCCCTTGTGTTTGCAAGGAAGAAGGCGGTTGCTCGATTCGCAGGACACC